CAGTAGGGTTCTTTTTTTTTTTTCCAATTTCTCTCCTTCATTTGATTTATTTTCTTAGCAAATGGTCATAGGTTTCTCAGTGGCCTATCAACTCATTAAAAACCCAACCAAACAAACTTATCCTGACAACTCAGCAGTCAGGCTGCCACAGTCCCCGTGTCTCTACACTCACAAATTTAACAAGTCAAGGGATATTTCCTTTTAGGCCTTCACAATCTCCAATATTCTGTTTGCTTGTATATAGACCTGAAAATGTTTTATGTTTTTCAATTTCCTGAAGGTAGGCAGCTGAAGTTCTTGGACATTGCTAAGTGCTCAAATAACTAAATTTCAAATAAAAAATGAAACAATCTCTATGCATCTAAAGAAAACAAGTAGTTTTAATTCAAAGTATCAGGACTGTGGATCTGTCAATAGATTTAGTCAAATTACTGCATTTTACTCATAGATATATATATACACACACACACACACACTGTCATTCCTGTTTATGTTAACCAGAAGAGCAATTATGCCAATTTGGGTTTCTTTTCACTGACGAACCTCTAGTTGAGTTTGTCATCTATTCAGAGGACATAAATTTCTTAGCTATGCATGTTTACTTTTATTTCCTCCATTTAGAGACTGGTAATTTAATGCTGCACAAATGAAGCCTGACTTTCAGTCAAATTAGCCTGTGTTCCAGAGAGCAAAAGCTTTATTAAATAACAAGTATCAAAGAATTCAAAAAATAACCTGTGTTCCATTTCACCCCAGACAATCTCTATCCTTATCATCGCAAATGAAATTAGATAATAGTGGTCATCACTAAAACATTAAATTCTACCAAATGCGAATGGAATTCATATACAGGTTACTTGCAGACAATTCTTATGTGCCACCATTTTGTGGCAGTTGAGCAGAAACAAAGTCAGCCCAACATTTACTAATAGATTTAATAAGATATAATTATGTTTGTTGTACATTAATAACTGAAAGGAATGTATTAAGAAATGATAAAAATGTATTAAAACCTGTGCTTTTTCCTGTGTGAAGTATTCTAAATCAGTGATCCATATTATAAATATTTGTTTACATCTATTTCAGTATGTTGAGAAAACCCATGTAGCTGGAAGCAAGAATACTAAGTAAATTATATGTTTCACTGAAATTTTCCTTTACTGCTATTTGGCCAAGAAATAACAAAAACTCCATGTATTGCACTATAATAACCACTATTTGAAATCCTAATTCTATGATAAGTTAAAATTATTGCTTTAGCATAGTATATTTTAAATACTTGGTTTTCAATTAAAATAGACAATACCAACACAGTAACTGCGCATTACTAAAGCTACTATGAAAGCTTAAAGGTGACTGATAACAACAAAATACATGCACATTTCACATGAACCTAATCTAGCTTTTTGCAATATTTAAAAGTTTTTTTAAAACAAAAACATGTTCCATTTGCTATCTTACCTATACACAACTGATAGAGGCACATGTTTTAATGGTCAGTAAAATCTACCTTCTATCCATTAATCAGTGTCATTTTTCCTCAAATGAAATAATTGCATCAACTATTCTCTTGACAAAAAGGATTAATCTTTGTAACAAAAGAGTAAGGTAAGAATACAATGAATATTTTGAAAAGGTCACTGAAATTGTCCCAGTTAAGATTTGACATGCCCGACCTTCAAGAATCATACATCAATCTCTGATGTGACCAAAATTTCCTAAGTAAAAATAACTATCTTCTTGTTGAAATTGCTAGATACCATATGAAACAAACCCAAGATACATCAAGTATGCATGGGAAATTTTTAAGCACATCTCTCCACTATGTAGCTGTCAGTTTCCACATAATAACTACCAAGACAGATGTGCTCTGTGATAATGCCCTAGTAGAGCACTAGGAAATTTAAATTTAAGATTACATTACACTATTGCTTCATATATTTTAGAAGTTCATATATAAAAGGAGGTCAGAGGATTAAAGTGAACTGCTTTCAGTCCTCTTTGAAGCTAAAGTCATACTGTTCAATAGTCCTCTATTTCTGAAAAAAGCTAGCATATCAATAATTATTTTGTGTATGAAAGCCAAAAACATATGGGATACCACAAAGTAGTGTCAGTGGATCCTGTATATGTCTTTCTTGAAACTAATTGGCAAAAATACCAACCCCAAATGTAATTCAAGAGAGCATAATAAAAGCAGTCTACGAGAATAATGAAACAACTAAGTGAGATTTTACTAAATTAAATAAGCTTTAGAGTCTTCCTTTGAACCTCTTCATATAAGAATACAGGAGTGACATGTAAGGGGGAAATATGGAGGAGACTGAGTACAGTGAGGGACAGAAACTACAAGGCGTCCTTACGTAACACCAAAAAAACCCACATTGGTTATTAACAGGTAAGAAGGGAAAATAAATGTGACAGCGCAGCTCTCCACCACTTAAAACTTTCAATGCTTTGCATATTAAGCAAAGCCTATTTTTAAGACTTTTTCTATGTCCAGTAGAATTGAAGATATTTAACATTCATACCATTCAAGGAAAACTATGCAATAATAATTCATTTTCAACTACAGGAATTGCTCATGAAGTTAACTCACAAGAACGCACACAACAACGCTGAAGCATGCTTTTTTCTACGACTGGATGGCTTTGGAGGGAAAGGCTCATGACTGCTGGATTTTACTGAATAAAAACATTTTTACCTGCAGCATTACATTAAATTTTGTAAAAAATAGCCAAATAGAAAAAATATATTACAGTATACATCATCTAATGTATTTTTATCATAACACAGAGATCTGCACGAATCAACACCAGTTGCATACACAAAACAACACAACTGGTTTTAACTCTTGGAAAGCATTTGAGGTTTGTGCTGGGTTCCTGCTGAATTGTAACTCAAGGCAGTTGCCAACTGCAAATTGCTTAAATTATTGTGGAGACAAAAATTTGAAAATAACACAAGGATTAAAGTTTCCAATATGAAAGCAAAATGTTTGGCTGCAAACAGGAAAACGAATCACAGGAATAAGATCAGATAAGCTGACACATCTGTATGAACTGTATGCTTAAAAACCAGGATACTATTAAAGAATAGCTAGAATATTTTCAGGTGAATATTAATTGGCTAAACTGTTTCAATTCACATACATAGTCTCTTCTTGAACAAGTACAAACCTTAACTATAAATACCCTGAGTATTAGTTCTACACAAATTTAATCCTGTATGTATCTTCACTAGCTTCAGGAAGAGACTACATATTTTTGTTTTAAAATAAGATTAAAAAAACCTTTTAATCTTTGAATTTTATTCCTATAACTGGGTTGTTTGTTTTGAAGATAATCAAAACTATATTTGACCCACATACATCTAAATCCAGAGAGAGAAAAGGAACAAAATATATTCAGAAATCCAGTTTTGGTTTTGTTGCTGTTTTTCTTAAAAAATAAAAAAAAAAATCCAAACTTTTTTTTTCTTCAAAGAAACAATGCACAATGTTCAACATGAAAATTTCAAGAAATTAGTATTAATGTGTGATCTAGCACAAAATGATTCATTGTGTGTGTGATAAAATGCAGTCTGTATACAGGTACATAATGAAATTATCCCGATTACAGACTGGCAAATTAGAATATTTGGAAACTAAAGCTTTTTATATTAAAAAATAAGTTAATCTTTATTAATACCATCACACTACCTTCACTTTGTTCCTACTTCAGAACTAAAGTACCAGATCAAATCTGCATACTCTTTCCAAGCTGTTATGAAAAGGAATGGAAGGTGGGGCTTTCCAAAGAGGCAAAACAAACAAAAAACCCAAAAATATAAATGAAAGACACTTCCCCCCACCAAATCTTACTTAACATTTTCTCATGCTCACTCGATCATTCAGAAAAACAACCAAGAAGCACCACCCCACATCCTAAAAAATCCCACAGTTCAAACAAACAAACAAAAAAAAAAAAAAAGAAAGAAATTACCTAAAAACCAACCAAAACCCCTTTTTAAACACACATACACACACGCACACATACAAACTCAACAGCTTTTGGAGCACATCTTCACAATGAATGTTCAAATTCCTATCTCTTTCAATCAAAGATACAAAAAAACCACATGCTGTTTTCATACGTGCATATGGGTTACCAACAGGACAATGAAACAGAGTATTTATTTCAAAGGTAATATAAAAGTCGTAGCAATGTCCATGGATGACATTAAGGAAATATACTTCAGTAATTTCCTTATGCTGCTTTTCTTCCTCAAAGCTTTTATACAAACTTCTCAATTAACTAGAACTATATTTTGCTAAGAAAAGGTGTAACTAATGTCTTGTGTTGTTCTGTACTAACGTATCAAGATAATGTTCTCTTTAAAATGTTCTTTAGAAAAGTCCCATTAAGAGCATAATCTTACACTTCGATTCTTCAACTTAATTTTAAGTGTACAGACTAAAGAAAAAGCCACAAGAAGTGTCATTATACCTTGGGATTTTAACACTTCCCTAAAACACATGGATACACAAAGCACCTCACACACAGTCATCAGATTCGTAATGTGAAAATATGCTTAGAGTAACAATACAGTGAAATGAAGTCACACATAGAACATGTATTTTTCATGGTCCTGCTTGTAAGAGTTCTAGTTTTTGCACTACGTGTGAATTCCATGTAATTTAACAGGGAATTTGCAGAAAATCAGCTGATTCATTTTTCCTACTGGTTTCAACAAAAGGAAATACATAAAAAATTCACCCACCTATACGTGTAATCTTGAAAACTGCATCATGAAACCAAAGAACCAAAACTTGGTTCAGTAAAGTCTAATTGTATAGGGCCAACACAAAAATGAATCTGTAATTTTCTGAACTCAACTATGAGGAAAACCTATTCTAAGTGCTAAAATATGAAGATTTACAATCACATGTATGTAAAGAAAATAACAGGTATGTCAACTTTCCAGATGCATCCATTCAAATAAGTTTTGTAAACATTTACCTGTATCCAAGCGCTTTACAGGGGACTCATCATCAACCTCAGAATCTCCACATGCACTCCTTGATCTTTTCCTTGGGTGCAGAAGTGTCTCCAACCTTGGAAGGACTACAGACAAAAAGGTTTTGGTCCCTAGCTGTGGAGAAGTTGGCTGGGTTTCAGTGTTCTTTGCAGACTTTTGGGGGCTTATACTTTTCGATTTGCAGAAGAGAATGGATGTACGTCTGTTTACATCAGTTGATGACTCAGCTACAGCAGAAACAGTCGACTCATTGAGATTACTGTCAAGTAAGTGTTCTGGAGTGTGTCCATTTATTTCTTTCTGAATGGAAGTGCTATATAATTCATTATCAAATTTTACTCTTTTGTAAAGCTTACTCTGCTCTGGATTGAGTTCTACTGGTTTGAGGGTTGGTGGTTCTGAATTAGTCTCCAAGTTTGAAGGAAGAGGTAATGCATCTGATGGTTCAAGTTTAGGGGGAGATTTATCTCCTGAAAAAATTATAAATAGAGTGTGATTTTTGAAAACTTGTAGTTATAAAGTCTATTATAAAACTCACTATAAATGTGCAGCCCACCAAATAAATTGCTGTCTGGAAACAAAGCATAACATTTTAAAAACAAAACTTGTCTAGCAACAATCTGTCCTAGTTAGTAGTTCCTACTTTTATACTGGGAACGTAACAGGGGTAGAAAAGTAGGTGTTTATAGTTGGTGTTAACAATTTATACCTGGATAAATACTTTTTACTTCTCATGCAGTTGTGTTAGTTTCATTAACTAAAAACTACAAAAATCTATTTTTTTATTAGAAAGTTGGGGTGGTGGATGATTATCTCTGCTAAATGCAATTATACTGCCATTCAAGTAAAATTTTTGATAATTTTATCTATTTCACCTTATCAATATTCACCTTACCTGCCTAAGAAAAATTTTACCACATAAACAGTGAAAAAAAAAAGTATTTTTAACCTGATGTACTCCAGTGAGCTAAAATGTGTTATAAAATCTACTGAAAGGCAAGATTTGTAAAGCTGTTTTTGCAGGTGCGGTTAGAAGTTTTATGTACCAAACCCAAAAAGAAATAATAGAGGAGGGGAGGAAAAAAAGACCCCCAAAATCTTACGGCTTGATTAGCCATTAGTTTACAAATACACACTTGACAATATAGATTTGATAGGAGAAATCAGAAAAGCCACCCTCTACCATTTTTTCTCCAGCACCCCCCAGCCACCTTTTATTTTAACGTGATTGTGTCCCAGTCAGTTCCACTGGGAAAAGACAATGGAGACATAACTGTGAGTGAATAGAAGTAGTTTCAGTTTTTCATCCCAAGGATTGGGAAAGAAAATAAACATTCTACTATTGCAGCATGCCTGAATACAAACAGAATGATGTCCTAACTCATAATTATCAACTCAAAAAGATGTTAAAACCTTTCTAGCTTCGAAAGAATCTTTCAAAACATAAGAAAGGAAATACTTATTCTAGAGTAACTGTATGAGACCAACATACTATTTATGCTATCACATAAAATACTTAAAACTTAATTAATTTTTCTATTACCTGAAAAAAGGTATAATACCCCCAAGTATTTAAGTCCTCTATTTGCAGGGGATATGGCTATATTGCTTCGGTTTTGGCCCAGCTCTGTTTACTTGGAAATCAATGAATTCTAAGTGCAGGAAAACCTCAACCCTGTTAAGGTTTAATCAACAATAGCATAGTTTGTACTAAAAATACATATTTCTAAAATGCAGTGTGACTGCTCATGTAATTTGATGGCACACAAGTATCAGAACTGGTAACTAGTATCACGAAGACAGTGGAATAAAATGTACAGTCAGACAAGTACGTTTAAAGTACCATCAATTAAAAAAGCCTGTAGTTTAGAATGTCCAAGGTGACTGTTCTTTGTGAACAAATTCTGATTTTCTTAAAATTAACTAGAAAATATTCACAAAAAGATTTAAGAACATAAAGAGAAGTCTTGAGAAGTCTTTAGCCAATAAAACCTAAATTTCATGGGATTATTCTGGTACCATCATTTTTCACATGATCGGAGACTGAAAACAGAATTGCAAGGGGGTAATTCACAGCACTTCCAAAGTCAGCTCCTGTACAGATCCTGGGCACAGTATTCTTCTACATTTCTCACATCTTTTTTCGGCAATTTGTTTTCTTTACTCCTCTAAGTACCTTCTATTTGTGAACTGAAATTTGAACTAACTAATATTATTCTTCGCTAGATCAGAACTATAAAAACAATGCCAATCAACCCTAGATCATGCTTTTCATTATGTTTTGTTTAAAAAGCATACTGTAAATACAAGAAAACTGCTACTGTTCACTTTGGACTATTTTTTGGTAAACAGCTGAAGTGAAAGGCTGTGACATAAAAATGTTAAGTTACAAGCAAAAAAGTTAGTGTATTCATTAGCTGCCAAAACTACATTCCTAAAGAACTGTATTTAGTACCATCATCACTTGATTAAAAAAAACCACCAAATTTAAAAAAAAATAAAAGAGATCATTAAACATTCTGAGAATACTTAAAGCCTCAGAACAAGATAATATGCCAATTCATGGAAGTTTTTTCTGTCATTGTTCAAATCTCAAGCAAGTTATATGTTTGGAAACTGGTCTCTTAGCTATACTAAGAATTAAACACTACACTGCTGTTTGAATGGCAGTTATTGACTTCACCTTTTAAAAATTTTGATAGCATCAAGCTGCAACAGACAGAGACTATTACCATGCTTCCACTTTCCCTTGAGCTCTTTCCTCCTCCTATTCAATGCACTTATTGAAAATGAAACACATCTCTAACTCTCCTAAAGAAGTTTCATTTTTCAGAGATGACCATGAAACAAACTCAACAGAACTTTTTTTTTGAGAGATAGATTTTCTTGCATCATTTAAAAATGAGGAATAAAGACCTCAGAAATTCATTTGAAAGCTAAAAATGCGAATTATGCTGTTCAATTGAAATATGAAGTTAGGTCTTTCTAGCACATTGCTATCATTGAAATCAATGGCAATCAGCCAAGAGTAAATACAGTTCTGAGACAAATGTTTTGAGGAGGAAGAGAACCAAAAGGGGAAGAGCTGGGTAGATATGACTGACTCAATTCTACAACATGAAAAGTATTAAGTCCTATCAATAGTTAGCTTTATGTAAATAAATAAATAAATAAACCCCAAATCTACCCACCCTCCTCCCCAGAGACTGGAGTAGAGAATAAAAAAGGCTACAAGAGACAGTACAACAGAGTTTTCATTACTATTGACCTAGGCTCACATGATCCCCAATATATATTTTGACATTTAAATGTATTTCCAAAAGTACAAAGATATTTTCCATTCAGGCATTTCCAACTGCGTTTTGCATGACACTGTTTGCACTTTCATTTCTTAACACCTATATTTTTAAAAGCCTTGCTGTAGTGAAAAACAATGGAGGTAAGTTTTTTTTTTAAGAAGATCATTCTATTCTTAAAATATTTGTTGGGATTAGGTGGTCATTTGCATATTTAAAATGCATATTTTTAATTTAAAATAAGTATTTTAAATTTAAAATTAATATTCATTTATTAAACCCTTTAATTCACATTATTAAAGCATCTGACTGAAGAGGCTCAGAACAGCACTTGTTTAAATCTGGTTTACAATCTTACCTTCTTCTTCTCCATCCTGTTCTAATGCTGCACTTTCTTCTTCAAAACTTCCAATACCTGATTCTATTTGAGGAGCTTGGTTGTGTTGCTGACTGAGTTTGTTGCGAATAATGCTGATTTCTTTCTTTAACAGCTTTGCTCTTTTGCTCCTTGACCCACTGGATTTCATTGCACAGGTCAGATCAAGTTTTTCTAGCAACTCTCTCAGCTGTTCTTCCAAGGACATATGTGCTCTGTTTGCAGGATTCAGTAACCTATCCACTGAAGTCAAAACACGCACAATTGCAAATGTATTAGTATTTCCCAGAATAACAATACCAACAGGAGGGAAAAAAAAGTAAAATTCACATGCCAAAATAAAAAGATATTGTCAAAAAGCTACTTAGATTACAGTTAGAAATGCTGAAATTAATTTCTACTATATATTTACTAGTCTTCTTAATCACCATTTTGCTCAAAAAAGTAAGTAACAGTGCAAAGAATTAAAAGGTCAGAAGAAAGACATAATCCTTCCCACCCTAGAAGGGGAGTTCCTTCTTGTAAATGAGAAGGACAAAATTACGGTTATAAAAGAAATGTGTTAAATATTCTACTTCACTGCCAAAAGCTCAGAAAACTGACGTGTATGCCAAAAGAATAAATTTTAAATCCTACTATTACAAACGTGCTTTGTTTTTTAATTGAGTAGGTTATTTAGGAACGTGCTGAAGTTTATGAGCACTTTTCATGGCTTAAAAGCATATACAATCACGTGAAAGAGAGCATTCAGCTTAAAAATCTTTTCCATGTAAGTTGTTAAATTAGGCTCTAACACTGCCAAAATCAGAATCTAGGTAACACTGATTTCTAATGACAGATCTAGTAGAATAGAAACACTAGAATCTTTCAAGCACTGCTTTTAATAGGGAAGTGGGGAATCTAGTCAGTAAACAGCAACAAACCTAAACATGTGTATGGAATGTACACACCGTGTGTAATGGAAAAAATGCAACTTTTAAAAATAATCGAAAAACATCTTACCATCTTCCCAAGAGAAAGGCTGGGGTGTCTCAAGTTTAGGCCGTTCAGGTAAGTGCATTCCAGTTTCATTATTGTAACCGATTCCTTCAGCATCTCGCCTAGCTTGCCTGAGAACTACACCTCCTTGATCTCTTAACCGCACTGCAGCTCTATAAAATATTGTATCTTTTGCATTGTATTTCATACAGTTATCTATGATAAGATTGAAGTCGTCTTCAAACTCACTGAGGTTTTTATAGCCTTGAGCATCTAACCGTTTTCTCATGGTAGAGAAATCCATAGGATGTTTAATATGATCCAAATAGTCTGGAACCTTTGAACAAATATTTAAAACACAAATGGGTAAAATTTTCTTATTATAGCCAAAGTAATATTAGTTAACTGATACACATTTTAAACATATTTTGCAACACTTCAATGTAAAAAATTCAAAATGTAGCTCAGAATTGCACATCGTGATATTGCAAATATTTGCATGCCAACAGATGTTTACATATTACAAGATTCTGCACCTTGGGCAACAAGTTTGAGCTTTACTAAGAGATGCTGAAACTGTATGTTTTTAGAATTCTGTGGGTTTATGTACCTCTTCTCCCAGGCAACTAGTGACAGGCCAAGGGGAAATGGCCTCTAGTTGTGCCAGGGGCAGTTGTGGTTGGATATCAGGAAAAATTTCTTCACTGAAAGGGTGGTTAAGCATTAGAACAGGCTCCTCAGGGAAGTGGTGGAGTCACCATCCCTGGAAGTGTTCAAAAAAAACTGGATGTGGCACTTCACAATATGGTATAGTTTGCATGGTGGTATTAGGTCAAAGGTTGGACTTGATGATCTTGGAGGTCTTTTCTGATCTTAATGATTCTATGATTCTATACAGCATCTGCACACACATCCATTTAATTTATATAGACATATCTACATGTTTTGTACACACATCTACATGTACATAGATACATACTCTGTCTAGTTTCACCTGCAAATAAGAACATAGTATCAACATTTCAGTTTTTGATACCCTTAAGAGTTTGCTTCATCAAAATCATCTTATTGCAAAATAGCAACATGTATCGATCATTCCATACAAGTATTTCCCAGATACTATCTTGGTATATAAACAATAAAAGGCTTTCATAGCAGTAAACCATAACTCACATAGTAAATTATCTGAATAAAGATTAAAAGGTAACACTGCTTCCAACCCTGCATGCAACGACTTGTTTCTTGTACTTAAGTGCCACCAACCCATATGTAAACATCAGGAAACACAGCTGCAAACACACCTCTTTAAGGTTCACTGGCTGAGCAAATATACGAGCAGAATCCTTTTCCTGCAGCTGATCCAGAACCGATCGCAGAAGTACAGTGAATGGAGTAAGCCTAAGTTCCATAGCAACCTGCTCAATCTTGACCTAAAGAAGTAACAATTATCCAGTTGAGCATTCTTCATTAACACACTGTATTAAAGTTGTTTTGCAGCATAATATATAATACCTCAGATATGAAATAAAATATACATTTAAGTAAATGAGTTCAATACTATTTTCAGTATCATCAGTTGGCATTGTTTGATTTTATTTTTTCCCTTATAAAATCATCAGCTGAAAAACTCTCATTCCTTCAGCTTCCCAGAACTCAAATTTATATTTTATATATAAGAATTTTGTTCCACTTCTAAATGCATTTCTTTTCCTTGAAAAGATGAACTTCGCAGTTCTCCAACAATGTGAAAATAGAAAGAATGTAATGGTAATACGTTTAAAATTAAATTTTAGTTGTACTGCTATGTTCAAATTTTAAATAATCTGACGAGCATTTATATGCTACATAAGAGCAAAACAAAGAGTAATTAGAAAGACAATATTCTGTGTAAATTCCAAGAAAATAATTTAAAAAACCAGAATCAACATCTTCAAACACTTGAACATCCTTCAGAATTTCCAGTGTTTTTACAATATTTCAACTTCTCTGCAGTTTAATTTTGCCGCTGTTTAAAGAGTTACCAGCATTGAATGGTGTTTTTATAAATAAGGACCATCAAAACCCCCCAAGTGCAAACATTTTGCTTCCACAGTTTCCATATAAAATCTTATCTTTCGGCATTATCATTTCCTCTAATCTCTTCTCCTAGTAATGTTAACTCTAGAATATTGTAGGTCTTAAGATGCAGCTTCTTTTTTTGGTGACAGAAGAATAAAAGTGCAACTCCATATAAGCACGTGTACTGGGAAAGCCTGAAGAGATCAAATTTTCTACACTTCTTCAGAAACCAATTGTCTTTCCAAGTCTAACAGAATGGCTTGTTAAATAATTTCTCTACACCAATGCACACAGCATGAGCAACAAACAGGAGGAGTTGAAGGCCACTGTGCTGCTAAAGAGCTACAACCTTGTTGCCATTATTGAAATTTGGTGGGACACACCCCATGACTGGAGTGTGACTGTTGATGGCTACAGGCTGTTAAGAAGGGACAAGACAGGAAGACAGGGCAGAGGGGTTGTCCTTTACATCAACAGATGAACACATTGTGAAGAGCTGTCTCTGAAGAAAAGCAACAAGCAGGTTGAAAGCGCAGACACCGAGGTGACAGAGGAAACCCTGTGCTTGTCCTTTATTTCAGATCTAGGGGAACCTATTGACAAAGCCTTCTTGATCCAGCTACAGGAGGCATCGTGCTCAAAGGTTCTTGTTCTGATGGGGACTTCAATCACCCTGACATCTGTTGGGGCAACTCCAGGTACCAATACCAGCTGAGGGGTGAACACATCGAGTGCAGCCCTAGCGAGAAGGACTTGAGGGTACTGGTGAATGAAAACCTGAACATGAGCTGGCAGTGTGCACTTGCAGCCCAGAAAGCCAATTGTATCCTGGGCTGAATCAAAAGAATTGTGGCCAGCAGGTTGAAGGAGGCGATTCTGCCCCTCTACTCTGCCCCCCTGGAGTACTGAATCCAGCTCTGGGGCCCCCAGCATAAGAATAGCATGAAACTGTTGGAGAGGGTCCAGAGGAGAGCCACAGATATGAACAGAGGACTGGAGCTCTCCTTTGAAGAAAAGCTGAGAGAAGTGGGATTGTTCAGCCTGGAGAAGAGAAGGCTCTGGGGAGACCTTACTCCAGTCTCTCAGTACTTCAAGGGAATTTATAAGAAAGATGGGGACAAACTGATTAGTAGGCCTGTAGTGACAAGACAAGGGGTAACAATTTTAAACTAAAAGAGGGTAGGTTCAGACTAAATATAAAGAGTAATTCTATTTTTTTTTACAATGACGGTGAAGCACTGGAACAGGTGGGCCAGAAAGGTGGTAGATGCCTTATTGCTGGGAAAATCAAAGGTTAGGTTGCATGGGGCTTTGAGCAACCTGATCTAATTGAAGATGTCCCTGTTCATTAAAGAGAGGTTGGACTAGATGATCTTAAAGGTCCCTTCCAACCCAAGCCATTCTATGACTCTATGAAAATTTTATATATTTTAAACAGTTTGAGTGCACACATGTACATACGTTCCTTGATCCTACATGAGGACTAAAAGACAGTAGTCCTTCTACTGAAAACTACATATGAAAATATTTAAATTATTTCCTTCAGAAAAGTTTCACCAAATTAAAAGATGCTCCATTTACCTGTTCTCTTTTTAATTTTTCACGCTTACGTATAAGTTCTATCAACAAACGTGCTCTTTCAAGATCATGGCGCAGCCTCTGCCAGTACTTCAATTTTTCTTTTAAGGCTTGCATTTCTTCGTCATCTTCTCTCTAAAAAAGGAATCAAAAAAGTTTACATGAAATGAAAAATGCGCACCTCTTTTTATAAGATAGTTTTATGCAACTACAGGATGTATGCACATAAAGGGAGAAACTACTGTCTTATAGTTATGGCACTCGATCATAAGCTTCAAACTTCAACAAAAGAAAACCTCTGGTCAGGGTATCTTCTAAAGTTTCTCAGGGGTCTATCTGAAAACAAAATCTATAAACTGGAAAGCATTCCTATGGTGACAGCTATTTACATGAGAAGGAGCAATACAGCAAACAGCAACCCACAAAGATAACAAGCTGCAAAATACAATATGGCATTTTCGCATCAAAATTCAAACCAGGAAAACAACATAAGTTTCATCAGAAACTCCAGGCTGGTAGAAACAAATTATTCTTGTGGTCAACAGAGTCCACCTCCCCCACATCCAGCAGAATTAGGACACGCTTGTAACAGAACAAAATCATTATGGCTTCGAAACAGAGGAGATGAAAAGCTGTTTATCAGATAATACGGTAACTTCAAATGGTACTGCAGATAAATAATGCAGTAATAGAACCTTTCAGAGAATAGATGACAATTTAATTTACACATTTTTAAGAGTAAGTAACGTTTAAACACTTGCAGTATTTAATTTGATTTGTACATACAAATCCCAGAGCATTTCTTGTTAGCCTTTACTATTTTTCATAAGGAAAAGGGAGGATATTGGAAAACTCACAGAGAATTCAAATGGTATTGATAATTCTCCAGATATGAGGACATAAAGAAACAGAAGTCCTGATATCAGTACCAAGTACACAAAAGAAACATCTGCTTTGGGAAATTATTATTATTACATTTTAAAAATGAGTATTTAATAAAAGAGTCTCTGAAAGACATCGAAAACCTTGTATGCTTGTCGGTAACTTGTATAATGCAACACACTTGATAAGCAATCTTTGTGGGGAGGATTTAAAAGCTAAAATGAAAACAGTAAATTCCATAAGTTATAAAAAAGTAGAAGACAGAGGAATAAAGAAAAGTGACTAAGCAGATGAACAATAAATAATATTACAAATTATTACACTAAAAGCAATAACCTCCTTAAGGAAAGACAATTTAGAAGTACCATAGGTCCTCTAAAGAAACCTTGTGCAATTTTTCAGACAGAAGGCTCAAAAAACAGAATTGCAAAAAATGGCAGCTTAAAACCATTATCTAATATATTTAGCAACATTATGATTCTATCATCTGCATCATATTTTATTGCTTTATATACTTTTATATATGCTTTATAAAAGTAAAGACAAGTACACATGAAAGCTACAAAATTAGTTTTATTCAAATCTCTGACTTCACTGAAGTTAAAAATCTTTAACTGTCAACTATCTCTGCACTAGAATGTAGCAATCTGAAAACAACAGTTTGTTCCTCTTTTCAGTAAGAAAAAAAACTAAACCCAAAAAACAACAACAAAAAAATCCCACAACACACAAAAAAACCCCAACCTAAAAATACGAGTTTGAAACTTCTAGTTCCCTTTCCCAATGACTATTACAACTGAAAGTTATCATTTCTTTCAAGGACTTGAATCTTGATGTAGACATAATAATTTAACTGGTTGGGGTCAGAATAGTTCAAAGTAAACTCTGACAGAAAAAAAAATTAATATGCACATTTTCAATTCCTTAAAGTTCTCAGAGACTCATTGAAAAAGCAAGTTCTACACTGCCACTAATTGCTGTTCTCCTACATCCCCTCGTGTCCCAGTACAGATCCCACATGTGGAAAAGCAATCAAACTCCTAACTGATATAGCTATACTATTTTTCAGTTCTACCATTTTACAGGCCCAAAATTAAGTTGTGGTGATGGCCAGAAGTGGACGGCTTGTCTTCCCTTTGCTTGCAAACATTCAGAGTCGCTCTTTTTCCCTATATAACTATACAATTTATGGAACTGGGCAACTGAGCCTGCTGAAAGCTCAGTCCAGAAAACCATACTAATTTCAGAGTGGGTCAAGAAATTTAAATACAGCAAGAAAAAAATGTTACAGCAGGTCTTAGGGTAGTTCATTTGACACAAGTATTTGGCTAAACCTCAAGGTACAGCTGCACTCAAAAAAAATAAAAATTCTTGTTTGATCAATTTCATTCCATAAAATAGACACATCCACCTAAATCTGCAGATGTGACACAAAGTATCAAGAGCACTCTGTTTGCCTTTTTTTAGTGCACACATTCATTCCTCTCCTGAATGCCATTCTGGCTTGGGGATTAATAGCAAGCCTCCAATTTTTTGACATTTCTATGCAAAGTTATGTTGGCAGACTGTTTATAATAGCTAAGATCACCCTCCTTTGCCCTAAGCTATTTATTATCTGACATACAACATACACCTTAATTAAATTAAAAGATCCAGGCAAGTTGAAAAGAGCACTGGTTTTCAACACCCAGCCAGTAAAAACTTAAGATAGAAAGAGTTTCTCTCAAAAGTTTTAGCTTTCTGACATGGAAAGTTTCCAATAACTTTCTGGTAAAGAGTTCATCTTCTTCCAAGTCTTTCTTCCCATAACTGTCCTGAAAGCCAGGAAGTTTCATCTGGCTAATGACACAAGAAAAATTTATAAAGAAACTCTCGTTCAGAGAAGGATTCTTAATCAGGAACTGTACTGATAGGACAAGGAATACTGAGTTCAAACTGAAAGAAATTTAAGTTAGATATTAAGAAGAAATTCTTTAATGTGGGGGTAAGGAGGCACTGGAACAGGCTGCCCAGAGAACCTGTGGATATCCCACCCCTGGCAGTTTTCAAGGCCAGTTTGGATGGGGCATTGAACAACCTTCTAGAGAAAGGTTTCCTTGTCCATGGCAGGGGAGTTGGAGTTAGGATCTTTAGGGTCCTTCCCCACCCATTCTTTGATTCTATGATTTTCTGAGGGACTTAGTTCTTGCTGAACATAGTATTATCTAGCAAAGCTAATACTTAAACATTTATTAATACTGAGGGAAAAGGGAAACACTTTTAAGTCTACACACAGAACACGCATCAAGTGAGAAATGATCTCACCAGGAATATGCTACGAGTCTCCCTGCATACTATCAGGAGTACTGTAACAACACATCCCTCCTTATTCTGGATGTCAATACACCAGAACAGCCTCACTCCTTACAGAGACTGTAACTTAATATAAGCCAAACAAAAATAGAATTACAGTGATGAAACTGGACCTTGAGCAATACAATTAGTTTTATTAAGACCCTCTGCTGGCACTTGTATGCCAATCAGTCAAAAACATTTAATTGGTTGCAACTTGTGTTTTTACTGAAAGCTTCAGTGCAGGTATGGTCTTAACTCACCAGCACCTTCTACTTTATTTCTCCTAATTTCACCTTTCAACCAACCTCATTACAGCAGCAATAGGCTTCTACACTTAAATTTCATACCTTATTTTTATTTGAGCATTTTTTAAGTACAGAAAAAAAGCTAAAACAATGGGGACATAAATTTATTAGGAGTATTCCAATATATTTCCTGAATTTCTAGGTGGAGAGAGAAGTGACAGTATAAAACATTCTCTCAGAAAATGTGCAGTTCCTGCACATGGTGAGGCAGTGTATATACACCAAGACCTTCTCTCCTGGTTTAGAACTCTTAGTTGATATAAACATCACCTTCAAAAGCATATCAGAGCACTGAGCTCTGGAACACATTTATTTGGAAGTAAATATAAATCACAAAAGCCTCTCCCTTCGTCAAATTTGTTCTAGTAAACAAAGAGAAGGGATCAAAGCCCCATTCCACCAGGCCTCTCGAAACCATTTTCAGGGTTTTGGTTCCTCATAAAATTTCTTTTCAGTTTAAATACCAATTAAAAAAAATCTGCTCTGTATCTATATTACATCAGTGTTTATGTTTCTTTAATTGACTGAAAACCTATTTAGGTTTCTTGATATTCTGACTTCTCACATAAAATAAAAATAATTTTCCCATCTGGATTGAAATAAACAAAACAATCATCTCTATCTCAAAAATTCTGAGGTGCTCTCACAACAGCTATGCCACAGCTGTTTATTAAGGTCTTGATTATAATTTGGTTTATACTTAGGAGTAACAAAGATGACTAATGCACTAAATGCTTTGCAGTTATGACTGCTTTAATAAATACATATTGAAGGTGCTATGGAGAAGATACAATGCCATACACAGGACACTTGCTACTCACTGAAAAGCACTACCTACACATTTTTCATCAACAGAATCATTTGACATTCAGCTCAGCTTGAAACTTTCTTCTTTCTTTTCAAAAGAATAGCCTCAGAAGTGCCCCAATTTTTAACAGACCAATATAAATAGCTTCTAATTTATTTAGAAAATATTTTCATTATTTCCTTAAGAATCATTCTAAATTTAGAAAAGAAAATAAAGAAATAGTGTTTGTCCCGAAGTGTAAACAGGCAATGGAATTTTAAACAGGTCCTATGTAAGGCCTATTTTATTTTAATCAAACATCAACTACAATAATCGTTTTATTGTGGTAGTGACTATTTAAATATTTAGAAATGTTGCAGACAGTTGCATGTCATCTCAGTATAAAACATGCTTCCCAAAGACCAACTAGCATGTCTTATTTTTTCAGACAATAACAATGGTCTAGTTCTATACTGCCACAACAGCCCTACATTTCTGTGCTTGACTTTACTATTTTTAGGGACAGGAGCTCATTTAAAAAGAAGTTTATTTTCTGAATAAATGAATTTCAACTATTATTAGGTAACTGCCAGGTTCCACTCTTCAGAACAGTAATTTCTTGTGCAGAAGTAAAAGACTAACCAAAGATTAAAAGCAGAATATAAAATTATTTTACAGAAATTACAATCCAAAAAATAGTATCAAAATGGAGCAATAGAGAAGCAATGAAAAAAGATAAACAAGTGGTCAACTTATATTCAAAGTTAATTCCACCCACAAGGAATACACCTAAATAGAATTTGAGAATCCCAGCTATGAGGAAAGGCTGAGAGAACCGTGACTGTTTAGCCTGGAGGAGAAAAGGCTTAGGGGGTAGAAATCTCACCAATGCACAAAAATACCTGTAGGGAAGATGGAACCAGGTTCCTTTCAGTGGTGCCCAGTGACAGTACAAGAGGCAATGGGCACAAAGTGAGAATGGACATCAGAAACATTGCTTAAACATTGCTTATATTTTTATTTTTTTTTTTAAACTGTGAAGGTGACCAAGCACTGGCACAGGCTGTCCAGGGAGATTGGGGAGTTTCCACCCTTAAGAGATATTCAAAAGCCAGCAGCACGTGGTGCTGGGTAACCTGTTCTAAGTGGCCCTGCTTAGAAGGAGGTTGTACCAGATGACTTCCAGAGGTCCTTTTCAACCTCATTTGTTCTAGGAATTATTAATTAGTTTTTCACATGAAAAGTTAAAAAAAATACATACACACAAATGTGACTGATCAAATAATCAAATAATCAGGAAGCAGTGTTGACCATGGTATTTTTATGACATCAATAATGACTTAATCAGCAAACAGAAATACAATTCTAACAAAAATAACAGTTCAGCTTTAAAGGGAGGGGAATCTCAATTTAATACAAGCAAATTATTATAAAATTAATTCCTAAGTTTTAGAGGCTATTCTACAAGAACAACACTCGGAGAATGGAAAGAACACAGCCAACTACATATTCCGTTCAGTTACAAAAAGGTAACTGGGATGCTCCATAACATGATGCATCAGCATTTCAAGGTCTACACACACAGACCTATATACACAATTCAGGAGTCTTAATTATTTTTTAAGCTACCCAGAGACTTGAAACCAAAACAATAGAATATTTGTAGTCACTGCTTTGATGTTTTTCAGCACTTGACTGGTAAGTGTGTACAACTTTATAACCAATCCAGACATATTGTAGCTAGGAAGGGTCTTATTGGAACAATGTATCAGCCTACATTTATGCTTGTCTACAACCTCACAATTGTGTCAAAGGTGAAACTAAAAGTTGAAATATGTCTTTGAACTTCATCAACAACTTGCCCTTTGTTCTCTTATTACTGAATACGGTGGGCAATAAGGATCTGAATTTGAAAACTGTAAACTAGCTGTCTAACTCTTTACCTGTTTTTTTCAAGTGTCAAACATGACATATGCATTGCACCTTTTGATGAATTTAAAATAACTTTTTTTCTTATCTAACTCAGAGCACATTGAGGAATGAGTTACAGAAAACCACAACACTAGTCAAAACATAACGGTATTATGACAGTTTTGATGACAGTATTTTTGTGAAACATTTAAGCAAAACAAAAGAAAAATCCACACAATTTTTTTTAATATGTCACAAATTAAAAAGTATTAGATAATTCCCAACTGCCAGTATAGGTAATATCACTTCAGAATAAGGTAAATAATTTGCTCAGTCCTGAGTAAGAGAAAGTTTTTACTTCCTAGTTAATTTTTTACTCGTAAGTAAAAAGTATGTCACGTACCTGTTGTGTGTTTCTTTGTGACTGTAAACTGGACTGCAGCCTTCTCAACAGTGGAACACCATTCCTAGACAGTCTTTTAAGCAACCAGTAACTGTGCACTCGTTCAACAAAATGCTTCTTTCGCTGAATGGCCACCTGATTCATAATCTTATTTAATCTAAAACATGGAAAAACTGATATTGTATTTTTCACAGCAAAGCATAAAACATATTTGTCTATACATCAAGTACAGAAGTTAAACATCAAATATATAAAAACTGTAAAACCAGAAGTAATCACAATGATACTAATTTCTTTCAATAACATCCCTTCCAGCACAATTATTTCTGAGCAGTAAACTACAATCAAATACATCTGCTTGACACCATAGTTTCTACCAAATATATTAGGGTACTTTATAAAGCGAATGGGAATCAATTTTTTCATGATCATTATTTGAAGATCAAACCCAGATTAGGGCTGAGAATAAAACTTTATATACATTTCAGAATAATTTTCCTATTGAAAATAAAATCAGAAATAAAGCTCTAAATCACTATGAAAGTCTTCAGATCATTTGTTGCCATCTAGACAAAGAATTAGTAGTTTATTTTAAAGACATATGTCTTCAAACTGTTTACATAAAAACATGCAGCAAAAGGCTTGTATTACTCATCTATTAATATCAATTTTTTGACAAATAAACAGAACAGAAAATGTAAACCACAAGAACAGTTATTATTTTACCCCACACATACAATGAAAACAGCACACAGAAAAGACCCAAGTGAGGATGATAGTTAAGCAAACTATCAAGATCAATCAATATTTTCTCCAAGTTTCTTTTTAACAAATGCAAATACTGTTTGCATATACTCATCTACAAATATTCTAGGAGAGTGCTATATGAACATCACACACAACAGTACTGACTCTTATTTTTCAAATAATGACATGTTAGAATGTCCAAGTCTCACACATGACACTGGCCTCTCAAAATATACATTAAAAAAAAAAGTTTATCTGAAACAGATCTTCACCCCTCTGTGCCTACAGTATCTTGAAATCACAGCCAAAAAAAAATTAAAAAATGTTAGTGGTTATGTATGATAATTCAGGTATTTGTTACCAATGGCAGCCCTTCCAAAATTAACACGAGAGCCCCAAGGCACCAATCATCTTTATTGTTAGAGAGATTGTTCATTCATTTGGGGGCAAGGGTGAGTTGGAGAGAGAGCTGATGTAAAACAGTTACAGAAAAGATAATAACAATAAAATCTGTTAATTCTTCACTCAGTATATTACTACCCACAGCAAAACTCTACAATCAGTAGTAGAGGGATTATCAGGTATCACATACTAGTATTTTGCTGCTTTTTCCCTTTTAATATTAGGAATAAAACAGTTTTGCAGGTAAGGATGAAAGTAAAGTAGTCAAATACCTAAAGAAAATGTCAAGTTGTAAGTAAACCTTGGGTAAAATGATTTTTAAGAATGTCTGGGAAACTTAAATATTTTTCAGACAAACAGACAAGTGAGTCTACCCTGAGTTCACCAGAAGTCATCCATCCCTGGTGGGTTTTTGTGAGCTGTGTAGAAGATAAGGTGCAATAGGTCTACTCAGTGCTAACTGTGGCTACAGAGCTTTCAGTCATCACTGGGTAAAAGCAGAACAAACAGAGGTTTTCCTCAAAATGCAATGTCATTGTGTCTTTCGGTTCCTCAGTGACATTGTTTTTTCAATTAATAACTATGCCAGTTAGGCAGTCTTAAAAAATTTTAGTTTAAAGCTTAGAAAGCCTGCAGATGGACTTCAGACTGTCTTGTAAGTCTTTCACTGGAGGGCAGATACAGGCTCCAAAAAGATTTACTCAATGCAGAACAGATGTGACCATATTAAACTTCAAACGACCTAATTACAATTAATTATGGAATGCAATCAAAATCAAGTAATTACTTTCACATCTCTTGGAAACAGTAAAACCTACTGAACCAAGTCAAAAAAAGCACAGCCAAATACAAACTGATTTGGAAAGATCAGAGAATCATAACATGAAGAAAAGTGCCTTGGCTTCACGCCCATCTGATGTGGCAAGACTAAGCAAATATCTTTCACTACAGCTTTAAGTACATTTGCCCAGTCACATAATGAACTGATCTATTCATAGATAAGTATAATAGTAAAGTGCTAAAATAAGCATAAGAAAGATGTTCACAGCAAATACTCTCCAATTTGAAAATTACAAATAAACAGAAGGTAATTCCAAGTGCAGAAACTACTTAAGAAGGTGTTAGAAACTACTCTTCTCTGCCTTCCCTCCAAATAAAACCAAATAATGGCTGTTCTTATTCCATTTAGACACCACACACAGATAGTGGAAACATACTTCTCAAAATAGAGGTCTGAGACACTTCACATGGCAGGTATCTTCAGAGCCTCTACACTATGAACTTACTGACGTAATGAGGAAGTTACATCTGCTGTTAGACCCTAACAATCAGTAACTGTATCACAGTTTTTCAATCATATTTTTGCTTAATTTGGTACTTCCAAGTAGACTTTAACTGTCCCAAAGGCTTTAAATTATGACACACAGTACAGCTGTTTAGGCGAAATGAAACACCGCTGCTGTAGAACCCTAGAAGTAGCACACCCTGGGTACTGATTTTGAAGCTCCTACCCCTAACAGAGTTTGCTGCACATTTCACTTCCTTTTTTTTTTTTCCCCTGCAACAAATTACTGAAGAGCAGGTAAGGGAGAGCTGTTTGAAGACTTTATCATTTTGCAATCCAGGATGTGGCTTGCACAGGACAGGATTAATTGCTACACTATGCTGACAAATCCCCCATGCAGAGGCAAGGCTTATAGAACTTAAGGCACCTCTGAAAACTACACAAAACACCTCAGCAAAGTAATTTTTTTCTAAGGTATCCATCTGCCCTTGAACCTTTCCCCAGTATAAGCACATCAGCAGAGAACAGCTTTCTGTATTGTTTTAATTTCTAATGGCAAGTCAAGTATACCAAAAGTACTGGGAGAAAAATGTCGTAATTTTCCCTCAACTTACCAGTGATTTAAAATGAAGTACATTGATAGAGGAATTATAAAATTCTTTAAAAGGTGCCTGTGTTCCCATGAAATTCAGTAACTGCTGCTCTATAACTGGTTCTTATAAAAGAAGCATTAGGCTTCAAGCTGATGACCACTGCAGCCTTTTGATGTTTTGGCAGTAACAGTCATACCCACTCTTCTTTTCCTTTTTTTAGAGCTACATACCAAAACTACACAGGTGTCAACACATTTTTCAGAACTGTTTTATTCATGCCACAGCCAACTGAAAAAGCCAGTATTACTTCCCTTTCCCAGCCCTGCCTGTATCCTACTGTAAAACACTGGTGTGCACTACAAACATGGTCTGGGGATATTGTACAATTCCCTGCTTGTCTTTAAACAGGGAAAGGTCTTTTTTCAACTGAACCTTTCAAATAATGCCTACAGCCTCCTGTTCACATGGAGACATTCGATGGATAACCTACCCTGTAAAGGGGTGATATACTTAATGCACTGGTCAATGCATTGAGAGAGCTGAATGTGTTACTCAGTTCTTGTTTCTTCACCTTTTATACAAATGCATAGAATAATTTTTGTCAGTGTAAGAGATGTGCTTTTCTCACATCACCAATCTCACAGCTTTATTCTTCAACTCATGACTACCTTCCTCTCCCAGTTTCAGTTATATGTCCCTGGGGCAACTATGGCAAAAGGTTTACAGGGAAAATGAAACCAGTATTTTGGTAACTAAAAATGTGGCAGTTTAACTTAAGAAAGCCAATGAAAGATAATCAGCCACCTTTCTATTAATCGTCCCTAACCACTCCACAGACCATACATGTGGGGTTTTTTTGGTTTTTTTGTTGTTTTTTTTTTTTAACCCCACAGCTACTGTTTTAGTATTAAAATACATGAAGATTTTTGCAACAAACGTGGGTAGAGCCCTTCCCAAATCTTTGTTCGCGAAGCCCAGCCATGATGATGACATGAAGATTTCTATAACATCTCTCCATTCTTTGGTTTTTGAAACATAAATTGGAGGGAACATTTCCTTGAGCAACTATGTGATTTTGACAGTATTACTATAGTAATTCAAGCACAAAGAACTTAATAGGAAAATCTGTATAAATCAGACACCCACACTAAGATCAAATACCCGTTAAAACCAATTTTTAAACATGAACTAAACCTTATATTGTAATTACAGTACTTGTCTTGAGCCTCCAGTTCCATCCGTTTGTTATTTTTCATCTTCCTTTATCCAGCACAGTAGTATTAAACATACATGCAAGACACCAAAACTGTATAATACTCTTTCATTTCATTCAGTATCACTAAAATACCCGTTTCTCTTGACCTATGGTAATACCTATAAGCAATCTACTTAACTGAGCAAATAAAATAACCCTATTTTCCCAAACAAAGATTGCAGATACATTTCCAAAACCCGGTAGAACAAATTGTAAAAAAAAAACCAACACTAAATTGAACAGATTTCAACAAAGTAAACTTTGTTGAAACAAAGTAGGTTTCCAGAACACTTGAATTTTCAAGCCTTGCTCAGCAAAGTTCCACAAATATCAAGACTCAGAGGAAGTAGGAAAGACACAAAAATTACCTACGAACAATTATAGTAATTCCAATGACACGTAGCAGAAAAACAGAATAACAAGCTATGGAAGCATTTATTTGGGAAACTGGAATTAATTCTGGAGCCTTACCAACTATTCCTCCTAGCTCCAGTTTCTGAAGATCAGAAAGCCTGCTTGGACAGATGAAACTCTCCCTACTCTTCCCATGGAAAATCTTTGGCAGCAGCTGCCAAACTCACCTTTTAATATACTATTATTTTCTTTTAAACAGTGAAGACATACAGTTTTGTTATCCCATCTCTCAATAAAAAAATAAAACTACATCAACTTAAAAATAAAAAAAAACCAAACAAACTGTTCTGATTAACTTTAAAGACAACACATATAAATGAATAACTATGAAAAAATCAGAATCCATTTGCATGTTTTTATTTCCTTTTGAAAAAGGATAACACTCCTTTTGTACTGAGCAGAAGTCAACTATGTACCCAACAGGGTACATATCAACTCCTGAAAAGACTGAAAAAGATTTC